ATCAAAAATAAACTCAAATAAATACTTTTCAGAATTAGATTAGTACCAATATGATTTAGACCTTTTTTGACATTTTAGAACTAAATGACATTCGAGTGACATCCTGCTTGACATTTCGGTTGTTAATTTGATTAAACTCGAAATTTTAGTTTTAGTTCTAAAAAATAATTAAATTTATTAAAAATGTTATTAATTCTTTAATTTTATTAAATAAAAATGAATTAGGTTCTCGACATCAAACCCCCGATACAGATGAACGCGTTGGAAACGCTCCCGGACGACAATACGGGGGTCCTAATCGAGGTGGAGGCGGACGAGGTTCCCGTAAAGACCCTCGAAGAGACGATAGAAGACGTACCACCGATGACGAAGAAACCGTATTGGATAGTCAAGAAGTTTCGAGCGCCGATAGAGGTAAAATAATTTTATTTTTAAGAAACTATTTTGTATGTATTAGTTAATTTGGTTATAATTTGATATCTTGGGCATGTGGTATCTACTATATTTAGTTGTTAGATAGGTTAATAGACGAGATATGAAATTTAATTATAAAATGTATGGATGGGGTGTTCGTGTATAGAGTCTGTGTCGAGCGCGGAGGCGATCTCCTGGTCCGGGGGCCCGCCGCGGCGGAGGAGGCGCAGGCCGAGACATCACAGTGAAACGCGAAGGTCGCCCCCTCACTACAGTAAGTAATTTTAAAAAGGCCACAACAAAAATAAGACCATAAAAATTCGAACAACAATGGGTGTGATGTGAATGTGTACAGTTTGATTGCGAATTCATTTTTGCTTACAGTTTTTTTTGTTAACTGCTTTTTTAGTGCATGTTATTATTACTAATTAACCTTCGAGCAGACGCGTGTCATAAATTTTATGACATCAGGTCCGTATTAATAAATATTAGGTTATTTTTAATAAAACAGTTAAAAATATTTAATTCATATTAAACAATTGTTAAAAACATAAAATGAAATCGATTAATTTTTGAAATCTAACAACATTTACAAACTATATACAGGGAATTTCATATAAGTCGCAATATATGAATGCAGTAACCATAGTTAAGAAACTACTGTGCACTTCTAGTAATAGTGTACTAGATAGCGCTAGATTGTATATTTTTATGTAACTAAAACTAGAATTAACACTAGAAACATTCTAGTTTAGCCGATCGTCTCTTAAGACTACTAAACCCGAATGATTCTAGTTCTAGGTCGAGTAATAATTCTAGTAATAGTGTTAAGTAGCGCTGGTAAGCACGAGATAGCGCTAAATTGTAAGTTATTGAACTAAAACTAGAATTAACACTAGAATGTTGAAAATTTTTTCTATAACGGACTTTTGGCTATAGTGGACATATACCGATATACAGGGTGTCCAATTAGTGCGATATCGGACGATATCTCCTTACAGGGTGTCGCTAGAAGAAAATGTTTATATATTATAAAGTTGTTTGGTGCTCGAAGGTGCATAACCTAAAAATATTTTTGCTTATACAGGGTGTTGCAAAAACAAAGTACAAGGTACAACTTCGTAAATTTAAATGGAACACCCCATATTTCGGACCCATGTTCATTAGCACTTTTCGACTTGTTTTCGACTTTAGTGCTACTCCTATAAATATTTAAACGTCGTTTTAAACTAACCTGTATATGAATGCTGTAACCGCAGTTACGAAACTACTGTGCACTTGCACTGTCCCACATAATTCAGCAGTGCTTCTGTCAATTTTTTTCGAATAATCGAAATTATAGAATCTTAGATTTCCCTGTGAATAGTACGGCGAAAATAAATTCAATTTGATCAAAAATTGTTTCAGATAAAATTTGTTTAGAATATGATTTATAATTGATTATTTTAATAAAAAGTTTTGATATGGTTAGTAGATGGCGCTGTATACCGATATATATACATATATATAACATTTTTTTAGGTTATCTTAATAATTATCGTTTGAATTAAAATTTTTTTCGAATAAATCTTATTTAGAATCGAGTCAGTAACAACTTTCATTAAAACATTTTTTTCGAAAAATTGAAATTATAGAATCTATAATTTCCCTGTGAATAGTACGATGAAAGTTCAATTTTATCAAAAATTGTTTCAGATAAAATTTGTTTA